AAAAAAAAAAAAGATTGCATGAGTCACAGTCCACTCAGTGATGCCTGACAACAACCTTCATGTGATACTTCACAACAGCCACCCCAGCAAAACTAGACACCTGGAAAAACCAGATACCAGACAGCCCCCCCACCCCCCCTTCTTTAACTGCCCTCAACCTTCTGGCAGGCCTGTGCCATCCCTGTGCGGGGATGTACGGTAGCTAGATCGGGGTCTCTGTCACCACGAAGCCCGCAGTCTCTCCCACAGAAGAAACAGGAAAGGCCGTCAGCCTGAGCGGCTGTAGCAGGTGGGACTCGGAATCTGTGGAGCCCAGAGGTTGAACACCTGAGGCTCAGTCTGAGGCTATGGAGTGAAAGGAAGGGTGGGAGGAGATGAGGGGGGATGGGAGGGAAGAGAGAGGGGAAAGGGGGAGGGGAGAAGGGAGAGGGGACAGTGGGGCAAGGGGAGATTGGGGGAAGGGGATGGGGGATGGGGAGGGGAGGTGCTGGACAGGACTGTAGTTGTTGTTGTTGTTATGTGCCATTGAGTCGTTTGCAACTCATAGCGACCCTATGTACAACAGCCCTAAACAGTGCTCTATCCTATGCCAATCACACTGCCTCTGACACACCTACTCCCATTATCCTAGTCACTGAATCAATCCACCTCATAGAGGGTCTTCCCCTCCTGCACTGTCCCTCCACCCTCCCAAGCATGTTGTCCCTCTCCAAGGACCTGTCCCTCCTTACAACATGTCCAAAGTATGTCAGATGAAGCCCCAGAATCCTTGCCTCCAAGGAGTAGCCTGGTTTAACCCTTTCCAGGATGAATCTCTTTGTTTTCTTGGCAGTCCATGGTACAAGACTAGGTTCAGATTTTTTGTTCATAGGGGGGAGGGGGAGGGAAAGGAGGGAGGGGAGAAGGGGGAGGGGAGAGAGAAGAGAGGGAGAGGGAGAGGGAGGGAGAAAGAGAAAGAGAGATAAGAGAGGGAGGAATGCACAGGGAAGGAGGAAAAGAAGATTTAAGAGAGGGGGAGAGGAAGGAGGAGGGAGGACAAGGGGAAGGAGGGTGGGAGAGAACAAAGGATGAAGGAAGAAGTGAGTGAGAATGGAGGGAGAAGAAAGAGAGGAGGAAGGAAGGAAGAGACGGGGAGAAGGTGGGGAGAATGGAGCAAAATGTGCATAAAAACCTGTGATGTGTGTAACATTTTTTTTTAGCCTGTGTAAATCAATATCTTCAAAATAACTTTCCGTATCCATCTTTTTCAAACAAAGATTCTTAGCACTGGACCAATGGGCAGCATCATGATGGATGGAAAGGAGACTGAAACTGGCAACAGCTTCATCTTGCTTGGATCCGCAATTAACACCCTTGGTACCAGCAGTCAGGAAATAAGGAGGCGCACTGCAGTGGGAAAATCTGCAGTTAGGGACCTTTCCAAATTATTGAGGATAGTGATGTCAGTTTGAGGACGAAGGTATGTCTGGTTCAGGCCATGGTCTTTCCGATTCCTAGCTATGCATCAAGGGATGGGCAATGAATAAGGATGACAGAAAAATAATTGATGCCTTTGAGCTTGATGTTGGAGAAGAGCACTGAATAACCCATGAACGGCTAAGAAAATGAACAGATAAGTCTTGGGGAGGGTGCAGCCAGAGTGCTCTTTGGAGGCAAGAATGTTGAGGTTTTGCCTAACATACTTTGGACATATTGCTAGGAGGTGCTATTCCTTGGAGAGGGACATGATATTGGGAAGGGTGATAGGTCAGTGAAGGAGAGGAAGACTCTCAACCAGGTGGATTGACGAAGTGACTGCTACAATGGGTTCTTGTGTGTCAGGAAGTGTGAGGATGGTGCAGGACAGGACTGGGTTCAGATCTTTTGTTCATAGGGTCGCTATGAGTTGTACTTGACTCGATGGCACCTAGCAGCAACACATCTTTTTGTGTGTGTTTTATATAGCACTAGATTCACTGCTATTTGCAAGAAGTCACAAAATTATATTTTAAAAGATAATAAAATAATAAAAACATACACAACCAACCCCCTGGCTGTCTGTAAAGCTCCCTAAAACAACCATGAATCTGAACTTGAATCTGGACCACCCTGAAGTTAGCGTCAATGATCCTAGAGGCAAGAGGACCTAGACAGGGTCCCTGAGCAAACAGAAACTGGTCTCCTTGGATGGCAAAGCTCTTCTGCACACAGCACAAAAATCCACAAGAACCTAGGGAGAAGGAGCCATTCCCACCAGGTGCAGGGAGAAGGTGGTATCTGGGCTCCACCTCTGAAGGGGCAGTGGGAAGGAGAACCGATATGTGGAGACGCTTCCCAGCTCTATATTTCACTCTCCAAGGCGCGGCTGTCATGGAATCTTATCTCCGGGCTGATCCTAGGATTCACAACGATGAAGTTTACTTGCAGAAGTCATGCAAGGAACAAAGATATAGATACTCTCCAAGATTTCAACTCGGGTCTAAGAAGGGGATTCTGAGGGGAGGTGCACCATGGGCCTAACTAAGGTGAAATGGACTCTGTCCCAGTGAAGCTGTCGCTGACAGCAAGACTCCCCAGCTTCCTCCCTTGGACCTGGAGCAGGACTCCCCACTGCCTCTTCCCTCAGGCCCGGGGTAGTACTCCCTGCCGCCTGCTCCCTCAGTCATGGGGAAGGATTCCCCACTGCCTCCTCCCTTGGACCTGTGGTAGGGCTCTAAACTGCCTCCTCCCCGGAGAGACCTTGGGTAGCCTGGTCTTCCTTGCCTGGGTGGGTGAGGAGGGGAGTTCTCAGCAATGAAGAGCCCAGCAGTCACCAGTCCCCACAGGGGCATGCACTCACACCTCACTTCACTCATCCTGTTTCCTGAGCATATTTTAAAGCCAGACACAGAGGTGGGAGAAAGGGGGGTGTCTTTGGGCCCTGAGACTCAACATGGCCCGAGTGTCTCAGATCTCCGCAAGGTGGTGGAGGGGAGAGTTGTGTCCACAAAAAGGGGGTGAGAATGAGGGAGGGGAGTATTTCAGGGTGAGGAGGTGTGTCAGCACCCCGAGGGGACTGATGGGAAAGGCTTCTCTGGGAAGTGGTGGGGAGGGGCTTGAGAAAGCAGAAGGGCAGGTGGGAGAGTGGGAAGGGGCTTCCAGGAGGAGGGAACAGCATATGCAGAGTTGGAGGCAGAAAACCGTGTGATAAGAATGGATACTCTTTGACAGAATGATGGGAGAATGGACTGGGGACAAAGCAGGGGATAAAACCAGAAGTCAGCGAGGCTCAGATGGCAACAGAACGCCTTCCTCCTACGGTCCGTGATGCCACTGCGGGACATGAGTCCTGGGAAATACAAGAACAGGTCTGCACACCTATAGTTCTGAGAAGCCTTCGGATTGGGGCACAACAGTTACGCGCAACTAATAGGCAGGGACGGCAAACCTTTGTCCCAGATTCTTTGGTCATGTGGTCAAGAAGGGTCGGCCCTTGGAAAAGGACATCGCGTGCTTGGAAAGGTGGAAGGTCAGCGAAGAAGATCCTCGATCCAATGAATCGACACAGGGACTGTGGCAATGCGCTCCCGCATAGCTGAGATGGTGAGGACCGCGCAGGATAGGGCAACGTTCAGATCTGCACTAGTTTATTAGAAAGACTGGCAGCTGAACCCACCCAAAGGCACGTTGGAGACCTGCTGCTGAGAGTCTTGGAAACCCTGTGGATCAGTTCTGCTCTGTCTGCAGAGTGGCCCGGAGTCAGAACCTATTCCAGCTCATGATGGGGCGCAAGGACTCGGGTTGTGCCTTGCAATAGAGTTTAAAAAAGTGCTTAATAAAGAGAGAGAGAGAGAGAGAGAGAGAAAAGGAGCGGCTGGAGGGGAAGCTGGAAGAGAAAGGGCGTCAGAGGCGGCAAAGGCTGCAGCACGGAAGCGGGAGCGGAGAGGGCGCGGGGCGCTGCGCTCCGGACGCGCGCGCTCGGGGAACTCACCGCGGAGCCAGCGCGCGCCGGCGTGCGTGTCCTTGAGGCGGATGAGGCGGCGCTGCGCGGCGCTGCGGCCCACGTACCACAGCATCCAGAGCAGCTGCAGCAGCATGAGCGCGGTGAGCACGCCGAGCAGCGCGCGCTTGCCCACGCCCGCCGCGTGCACCGCCCAGGCCAGCAGCAGCAGCAGCCCCGCCATGAACACGTTCAGCCCGTACTGGCTGCTCAGCGCCTCGGCCAGCTTCTGCGGGACACTGGTGCAGGGGGCGCCGCGCCGAGGACCCCGCGACCCTGGGGGCTCCTCCGGCCCCGACGCGCCCCGCTCCGGCGCGCTCGCCACCAACTGGCTCTCGGACATCTTCAGAGCCGGCCTGAGGCGCGCGTCCTGCCTGGGGTGGCTGCGCCCCCACCTGCTATTCCTAACACCTAGCCTCGCCCTGATGCCCTCTGCCCACCCCCTAGGGCTGTACCTCTATCTGGGCCTTCGCAAATGTCTGCACCTTTGCAAATGTCTTTGCTTTGGCCAGTAGGGACCCGGGTGACCCAGCTAACCAGTGCTCTCACTCCCTAATCCACACCCCAGACCTCACTCACTATCTAACGCCAGCCCTGCTCCAGACGCTACCAAGTGGTTCCAGGACCTAGATAATCGTGCCCACCCCGGTACCCTGGACGGCAGAGGGGCAGCCCACTGTCCCAGTGCGCACCAAGACAACAGGGTCGCCCAGACCAGCCCCAGAAGGGACGTAGGGCGGAGCGCAGCAAGGTCTGCGGGGCGGAGCTGTCCCCAGGGTCTGTGGCAAGCCAGACTCCCGGTCCCAGGCTCCTGGCTCTGTCCTTGTGCGCGACCACCTGCTGTGCTGGGTGGTGTTGCCTGCGGGTCTCTCTCCCAGCTTGCCAGCCCTGTTCATCAGCGTGTCCACCTGCCTCTGTCTGTCTGTCCGCCTGAGATTGGGTGTGGCTGAGATCAGCGCCCAGACCGGAGGTGCTGGGGTGGAGCAGGACCTGGGAGAGAGCCAAGGTGGGAGGGTGGCCTCCTGGGTACCACCTGCGTGCCCACAAAGGGCTTTGCACCCAGAAACACCCTTCACCCCCTGCATCTCATGCTCTGCTGATGTTGCCTTGAAATTTTTGATCGTTTTTTAACTAGGAACACCAGGCTTTGGTTTTACATTGACTCCAGCAAATCCTCAGCCGTCTGACGGGGGAGGATGGAGAGCCCCGGGCCTGAAGGAGTCAGCTGAGGAAACGCTTGTTGGTTTCACTCATCTGATGAGCACAGCAGACCACAGGGGTGGCCACTGGTCAGGCTCCGGCCTCGAGACTCAGCTGTGAAAGCAAACCAGACTCTTGGTGGGCCACACTCTTTTTAGGGTTTGTTTTGTAACATCTTTCCCCGTTAACTCCCAGATTGAGCTTATCTATGTGTAAAAAGCCTTGTTGAACTTTTTATATTATTGTGGTTGTTAGATGCTGTCGCGTCAATGACGACCCCTACTGACCCCGTGAACGATGGATCTGCACCTCGCCCTAAACCTCGCCCTATGCTGTGCCATCATCCTCCTCTCTGCTACAGTCTGATTAGTGACCTTCCACCAGAATGGTCCTTTTGTGACTGACTGAAGTCACTCACCATCATCTGTTCCAATTTCATCCGCGGTGTGCAGTGTTTCACAAACTCTTAACTATTTGCTGTTATTGTGTGCTGTGGAGTCAGATCAACTCATAGCTGACCCTCCAGGGGTTTGTTGTTGTTGTTATGTGCTGTTGCAAGTCGCTTGCGACTCATAGTGACCCTATGTACAACAGCCCTAAACCCTGCTCTGTCCTGTGTCTCACTGTCTCCGACACCCCCACCCCAATTACCCCAGTCACTGACTCAATCCACCTCATAGAGGATCTTCCCCTCCTCCGCTGTCCCTCCACCCTACCAAGCATGACGTCCCTCTCCAAGGACTGGTCCCTCCAGGGGGGTTTTAGAGGCTTTGAATCACACTGGAGGAGACTGTCCATCTTTGTCCCTTGGCACAGCTAGTGAGGCCACCAGAGCTCATTTTATTACTGATGCATAATATGCCATTGTGTGAATGCACCACAGCTTCTTCAGCCACACATCAGCTGATGGGCACTGGGGTTCTTTCCAACTCTTTGCTATTATAAATAACGCTGCAGTAAACATGGGTGTGTGTAAATCCCTTTATGTTGCAGCTCTTAGTTCTTTAGAATATACACTCGGTAGCAGGATTGCTGGATCTATTTCCAGATTTCTCAGGAACAGCCAAGCTGCTCTCCCTATCGGCTGCAGAGTTTTCCTTTAGTGGGGCACACCCTCCTGACAAGGACTTCCTCTTTCCTGGCCCTCCAGGAACTGGGGAGCAGCAAAGGTGAAAAGGGGGTTTATGGCGTAGTGCATTAGGTGTGCTAACGAAAAGATCAGTGTTTCCAGTACCCCAGCTCCTCTTTTTAAAGACAGCTGTCAGACCCTACAGAGGGTCTTTATGGGTGGAATTGACCCCACAGCAGCAGTTTTCCAAAAGTGGAGCCGAGTCTGAGTGCAGGAACTCACAGCCCTGTGGGTTGTGGTGTCTGTTGTTGTTGTTGTTAGGTGTCACTGAGCCATAGCAACCGTGTCAACAGTAGAACTGAGTCCTGTCCTACCTGTGCCATCCTCCTCATCTCTGGCACTTGGGAGCCCAGTGCTGCTGTCACCCGGGCACCCCATCTCAATGAGGGTCTTCCTCTCTTTCGCCACTAGAGGAGCCACTAACGGGTTTGAATTGCCAAAGACTCACAGCCTTTCAGTGGTCAGCACGGGACACCGCAGGCTGTTCAGAGAGCTGCTTCCTTCTCTCACTGTCATCCGGTGCGAGCCTCCGCTGGGCCTCTGAGGCTGTAAATCTCAGGGTGGGGGGAGGGAGATTCACCCCCCTCTTTCTCCCGCAGAGGCACTGGTAGGTTCCCCCTGCCAGACAGACACCTCTTTGAGGTTGGCAGTGGAACTGCCTCTGGACCACATCACTAGAGCTCCCCTTCTCCTCGTCCTTGAATGCTCAGCCAAGACCCACAGTGACGCTGAGGAACAGATCTGAGCCTTGGCCTGTCCTTTGCCATCCTCACCGTCTCTCATGAACTCCAGCCACTGTTGCGGTCATCATGTCAGTCTGTCTTCCGGGGGGGGGGGTGTCTTCCTCTTTCCCTCCTCTTCTCCCAGGGTAGCGTCCTTGTGGTTGTTGTTATGTATAGTTGTCAGACTAGCCCCAACCCTCCAGCGGGTTTTCAGAGGCAGTAAACGGCACAGAACGAGGTTGCCATCTTTCTCTTAGGAAGCAGCTGGTGAATTCGAACCACATCCCTTTGGGTTTGCAGCACAGCTCCTTGCCACAGAACCAGCAGTGCTGCCAACTGGGTTTCCATTCCTAGAGCTCCAGGAGCTGCTCAGTGAGTGTGGACAGAAGCGAGAGGAGGGTCACTCCTAACGCCCAGCCTGGGGGTCCCTACACTCTCCTTCCCTCCACCTTCGATGTGGACACCCACTCCTAGGGCTGCCTTGGGAGTTTCAGGCTAAAGATGGCAGATCCTGCCAGCGTGAGTCCCCGGTGACAGTGCTGCAGGCACCCTCTGCTGAATTTGGCCTTGACCTGATGGAGCCATCCACTTGAACAGGAGAAGTTCAGAATGTATCCACCCTGGTAGCTTTTGCTGCGGTTAGTTCCCTGATTCAGCTCCAACTCACAGCTGCCTTATGTAGAAAGCCAAATCAAGCCCCACACACACTGGTGGGACATGAAATCAACTCTGTAACCCTCCATCAGGTTTCTGGAGCTGTACACCTTTATGGAAAGAGGCTGCCCATCCTTATCCCATGGAGCAACTGGTGGATTTGAACAGCTGACCCTTTGCTTGACAGCCCAACACATTATACAATATTCCACCAGGGCTCCTTTCTTATTCATAATGTATAACAAAATGTTGCCCATCCTGTGCCATCTCTACCCAACTCAAACACAAGCTCACTGCCGTGGAGTTGGGACCAAGTCACAGTTGACTCTCCAGGGCATTTTCCAAGGCTGTAGGGCACATGAGAAGGGATTGCCCATCGTTCTTCCACAGAGCTGCTGGGAGACCCGAATTGCTGGAGAGACGTTGTATCCGTGGACACTGGTACATTAGAGTCCACTCTTTGGACCACGGTGTATATCCATCTCATTGAGGGTTTCACTGGTCTTTGTTAAAACTCTTCTTGACCAACCATGATGTCTTTTTTCTAGAAACTGGTCTTTCTTGATGGTGTCTCCAAAGTTAGGGAGTCTTAAGTACCCACACCCACACCTTTATGGAGCATTCTGACCTCATTACTTGTAGGACAGATTTCTTCATTTTTCTGAAAGTCCACAGTATATTCAACATTCGTCCCCAACATCACAGTTTAAATGCATCATTTAGCATTACCTTAACTTGTGTGAAGCACAGAGATAATTAATATTCCCGACCTGAAGCGCTTGCTGTAGAAGGTCAAGGGCTGCAGCCTTCAATATGGATTGAGGCTCAAGACCAAGAAAACAAAGATTCTCACCACTGGGCCGACTGGCAGCATCACAATAGATGATGAAGAGATTGAGATTGTTAACAGTTTTAGTTTGCTTGGCTCCACAATCAATACTCTTGGCACCAGCAGCCAGGATTAAAAGATGAATTAGGATGGGAAAGTCTGCTGTTAGAGACCTCTCCAAAGTACTGAAGAGCAATGGTGTCACTCTGGTGACCAAGGTGTGCCTGATACAGGCCATGGTCTTTGCAATCACTTGTTATGCATCAGAGAGTTGGACAATGACTAGGGAGGATAGAAGGAGAATTGATGC